AAGCATTTCCCTTGAGAATGGAACCAGAGAAAGATGTCCTCTATCACCATTCCTACTCAATATTGTACTGGACGTCTTAGCCAGAGCCATAAGGCTAAAAGGAAACTAAAGGCACTCAAACTGGCAAGAAAGAAGTAAAACTGTATTTTCAGATATGATGCTATACCTAGAAAATCACAAAGATTTGGCAAGAAAATCATGGGAATTAATTGAAAGACTCAGCAAAGTGACAGAGTATAAGCTCGACAATTAAAAATAATTTGGATTCCTTTATGCTAAGACAAAAAGCTCTAGACAGGAAATCAGACAAACAATAACATTTACAAAGACACTCCAAAATATGAAATACTTAGCAATAAATTTAACCAGAGAAACAAAAGCCCTGTACAAGTAAAATTATAAAATGCTACTATAAGAAACCAAGAGACTAACATAAATGGAAGAACATACCATGCTTATGGATGGGAACCTTAACATTGTAAAAATGTCAATACTACTCAAAACAATCTACAGATTTAATAATGCCATCCCAACCCGGATTCCAACATCATTCTTTAAAGAGATGGAGAAACTATTCACCACCTTTATACAAACAAGAAAGAGCCCCAGTTAAACCAAAGCACTACAAAAGAACAACAACAAAGTGAGAAGCTTTTTACTTCCCAATCTCAAAACCTACTCAAAAAATAACCTCATGGTGTCCCTGTAGACCACGGAGGAGTACCCCTGCAGTTTCATGAGACTGTAACTCTCAAGGGGAGTGGACCGCCTCATCTTTCTCCCTTGGAGTGACTGGTGTTTCCAACTGCTGACTTGTGGTTCGGAGTGCAACATATAACCACTATACCACCAGGGTTAGTGAAAACAATTTGGATCTGGTACAATGATAGATACATAGGCTAATGGAACAAAATTGAGAACCCAGAAGTAAATCCATCCAACTACAGATGGATAATCTTTTTTTAATAAATAGCTTCATTGATAAAAAATTCATATATCATATACTTCCATAGTTAAGTTGCTTTTAAAGAGTTGTATATAATCATCACAATCAGTTCTAGTGTTCCCTCT